TTTTGGGAGTAATCTTAAGCTTGTAGTTTGTAGGGTATATTGCTTTATTAGAACAATATGAAATTCAAAATGACTAAGTCTGTTATAATTATTTAGATTAAATTAGATTATACCGACGATCCTAGGGATCCACTTAATCCTATAGGTCCATTCTGTTGGCATATAAGAAATTCAATCATTTAAATAACCTTGAACCATTAGCAAAGCCTGAAATACTCTTTAGATAAAAGTTCAGGGGTTAGCTAAGATCCACAAAAAAAAAAGCCACTAAAATAGTTCATCAAGGCCGTGCATGCGCTGGTGAATAGCAAAGCAGATGTGAGACACTTTCATCGTCCTCTCCGTAACTGCGACAGGAATGATTAAACGTGCGATTCATTCTTCTAGCATGGTTCCCTAATCGGCTGCGACGCAACCATAAACCCACTAGAAGGCTGATATCTTTACGGTGAGTTTCAATGAATGTGCTAGACTTTTTCTTACAAACTGTTTGGTCTTCCTATTTTTTAGTACATTGCACAGTACAGAAATAATTCAACAAAGGTTTGCATGGTGTCAACGGTATGCCCAGAGTTTTTAGATGTTTAGATTGATTACCTAAAACACTTCATCTGATCTTCTCAAATATCCTTATGACCGAGAAACCAGTGTAAAGAAATTTTGAATTGCGCTAATATTTAAATATTTAAATTTCTGTATGTAAATTTTACTTACTTAGAGACTTTAAATCGTTCCAGTACCTATAGCTCTCCAAATAGGGACCACCACAGCCTGATAATATTATCTTAAAATGATAATAGTCGTATCAGTTTAATTAAGTAACTTTTTGATTACGTTTGGTATTGAACTTACTTTGGTTCATTAATTTCCTGATGATAACTTTTTGGTGAGATAATGCTAAACCTAATAGATATTGCAAGTGTAGATTTCCTAAAAATATTCTCAATTAACAATCATACAGTTTGGCTTTAATATAAAACGTTAAATTTGTCGATTGGGTGTGTAGAGACAAAATGGAACTATTTTGACAAAAGTAGTCATAGTAGTATTTATAGTAAAGTAGCATGAGTAATATAAGTAGTAAGAGTAGTATAAGTAATATTTATATATTATATTCAATTGACAATTTGTTTCTAGATAAATTAATACCAGATATATGTTATTAATATTAAACATAATAAGAATTGTAAAAATATTTTATAATTAGAATAATAGAGGGTAGTAAACTTAATTAAATAATTAAATTTAATACCAGTAATTCCTTGAATTTGATGCAGTAAAAATAATTGGAATTATTCTTTTTAAAATATTTTCGCATTTTTACATCATTTGCTATATAAAATCTATTTGCAATTTTTTTTCAAAAGCTTATTAAACTTTAATTGTTCACTTTTAATATATTAAAATCAAGTTATCAAGCTTTTAATAGTTACTGTAAACACTATTGCTTCAGCAGAAATATAAGTTTAAACATAATGAGAACTATAAAATTATTTCCTTATATAGATTCCATTTTTTAAACCAATTTTTTACTAATTATATATATTATAATAAAAATGAATTGTTTGTGATTTTAACATACAGTTATCATTACATATATTGGATGTTTCTTCGAATTTCGAATTTTGGGGTTCAGCCACACTTTCTTCCCCTAATGCCTTTACTTAGGAATGTATAAGAACTTATAGATATTTATATTGTACATTATTTCTAAACAATATATTGTTAGTATAATGGCATTAATTATAATTAATTAGAAACCATTCGTATTCAAATATTTAAAAAAAAACATTTAAAAAAAATTAGAATACCAAACAAAAAATTGTATATTGAATATCTGTTAAATACAAATTAAGGATCCAAAGGTTCATAAAAGGCGTTGTGGCAATAAACGAGAATCATAAAATTGTTGAAAAAACATTTTTAATGGAATATTCTATTTTTTAAATAGTTTTTACACCTTCTCCACTTGTCAATAACAAAAACAAAAAGAAAAACAAAAATAAAAATTTTATTAATAAAAAAGGAAATAAGTTAAATCTACATAAATTTACATAAATTTTAAGATCGTTCTTTACTATATTAAAAAGAACTTAATATATTTTTAATGGATAATCAATTCCATAAAAGCTACAAAACAAAAAAAAATTCCCAAAAAAAGACGAATTAAAATAAAAGAGTTAAGAAGATACTCGTACACCTAAAGCATCGGATTCATAAAATTGATATCGTTTGATACATTTCTTAAAGCGATTCCGCCATCTTTTTCCGACACAAAAATGCCGTAATCTGATCTCCTTACTTAAAAATTGAACCCTCGTTATTTTATGAGGCGACGTACTGAGATTGTGAAGTAGATTTGAAGCATTTAAAGTTAAATTTTTTTACATTTAAAATTTTTTTCTTTGATATTTTTGTGCTTAACGAATTTTATGAGTTGTCATGTGTCAAATGAGAATTAAAATTTATGCGTTTGTAATTGAACGCGAAGCATCTTCAGAAAATACGTAGCCCAAAAAACTGAAAACCAACACACAAGAGTGTCTCAAAATAATGCTCAGGGAAAAAAACCTAAAAAATTGAAACTGGATTCCGTTGCTTTATCTTGCTTGATTCCATTGTGCATATTCCGTTCCGTCCATTTGTATCAAACGGCCATATTTGA